GACTTATTTCAATTTAAACAAAAATATGCAGATTTGCTAATTGTGAAATAAGTAGTTCACGATGGCTTGAATCTCTGTGTATGTAATCTTTCTTTGCAAATATTTTTTGAGGATTTTTTTATTTAATTTTTTGATGTAATGAGTCCATATTGACTGGGCTGAATGGTATTCAGGTGGCAATGATGTTTGTTGGAAGTGCCAAATAGCTTCTATTGACAAGCAGAGGTGTAATAGGTATGCTGAGAGACAGTTCTATCAACAGTAAGAGATCAAAACTTTTCAACACTCTCCGAACGTAAGGGGGCATAACTAGCAGACCTCTCGCGGTGTTCAACAAAGAACTTGATAAACACCTCCAATAAATACCCGATCAACTAGGCTGTGATCCACGTGTCAGACTGCGAGCAGCAGCAGCAGCATCTAACAAACTGGTTAATTAACCAGACCACCAACCAGGAAGCCTGGTCAGAAACAGGGTCATAGGATAATAATTCCCGGAACCAACAAAAAAGGAAGGTAGATCCTTCCCCCCTGCATTTGCATTGCATACTGATGTATGTTTACCTTTACTCTATTTCATAAACAGTTCCTAATTTAGGGACGTGTTCTGAAATTGCTCTTTATCTCTCGTCGCCCTGTTCTGAATATTATTTTATCTTGCCTCACATGTCGGGGTTTGTATCTTCCTATCCTACCATGATTCCCAATCACTTGTGAAGCTTCACTCACCATACGTATTAACAGGATCTTTGTCACATAATTCCCAATGCTCTTTTACCTTTTTTACCTGTCCCCCTTCCCCACAAGGGGAATAAACCCATGGAATCACCTTCCAAAGAAAGAGGTTAATAATATGACATAAATTCAGTTTAAAATTGAGCTGAAAAAATTCTAAAGCATCATGAGGGAGACCTTACATAAACCGCAATTTTATCAGCCACTAGAGGGGGTTTAATTCAGGTAAATTCAGGTAAATTCACGATAAACTGCTCATCTTTTTTGGGGGGAAGTCTTTCCAGCCTTTTTTTTTGTGCATGGCTGTGTTGATCGGTATGTCAATCTCTGCGTCTCTACTAGCTGCTGTCAATCACTTGTCAGATTCTTCTGTAGACTGACATAACTCTCTTCTCAATGTATCATCTTCACTGCTTCGCTTTCTCCTCCTCAGTTTCCATGATTTCAATCTCTTCCTGTCCTTGCTCAGCTCCGTTGAAACCTTAACTCGTTTTCCTCCCTTAAACATTCGTCTCTTTTGCATCTCTCAATAATGGATGTGCTTTTTTACAAACAGCCAACGTATATCCCCTTTTTTTGTCATATATTCGTAATGCCGGCTCTTATAGCCATCCCCCCCCCCACCCTCTCAGTCTTCCTCTGGTAACTGTAAAACATTTTATGGGATTTTTTTGGTCTATTTTATCCAGTCTTCTTTCTCTTAGGATTGTTCTTTTTCGTTAGTTATTTTTCTCTTTATATTTACAGTTGTTCTCACTCCCTATCTCTCTCTAGCCTGATACTCAGGCTACCGCTTCTCCTCTGGGTCACCTCATCCCCTCTTATTCCTAATATCCTTTTCTCCTGTTTTTAATTCCCCTTAGTCTGCCTCCTCTCTCTTAGAAGAAGAGGCAGACATTCATAACTACCATTCATCCAACTTCCTCACACCTATTTGTTCCTACCTGTTGCTTTTCTCATGCTTAAACCCTATTTCACCCTTTATCTACCTCTCTCTCTCTCTCTCTCTCTCTCTCTCTCTCTCTCTCTCTCTCTCTCTCTCTCTCTCTCTCTCTCTCTCTCTCTCTCTACAATCCTCCACCTTCTTCCCCTCTTCCTCGTTCTCTTCCCTCCCTCCACCCACCACTATTCTTGTCTCGCATGTCATATATAGTGATAAAAAGGCCTCAATAAAGCCATAGCCGACCAAACTGTGGCTGGACTCGTCCGGCTCGGGCCTTACGACCCAAGTTGTGTAGTTTGGAAGGTAATGAATATCCGACCGGCGGCTGTAGCCATGAAAATGCTTTGGCAACATGAGTGCTTGTGGTCATATATATTGTGGGGGGTTGAGATCTCTGTAATCATTATGGAGACCAGTTTGCATTTATAGGGTGTGGGTGTGTGGGGGTGGGGGTGTGGTTGTGTGTGGGTGGGTGGGGGTGTGTGTGGGTGGGTGTGTGGGTGGGTACTCACTTATTTGTGCTTGCGGGGGTTGAGCTTTGGCTCTTTGGTCCCTTTGGGTGTGTAGGTGTGTGTGTGGGTGTGTAGGTGTGTGTGTGTGTCTGTGTGTGTGTGTGTGTGTGTGTGTGTGTGTGTGTGTGTGTGTGTGTGTGTGTGTGTGTGTGTGTGTGTGGATGGGTGGGTGGATGGGTGGGTGGTGTGTGGGTGGGTGGTGTGTGTGTGTGTGTGTGTGTGTGTGTGTGTGTGTGTGTGTGTGTGTGTGTGTGTGTGTGTGTGTGTGGATGGGTGGGTGGATGGGTGGGTGGTGTGTGGGTGGGTGGTGTGTGTGTGTGTGTGTGTGTGTGTGTGTGTGTGTGTGTGTGTGTGTGTGTGTGTGTGTGTGTGTGTGTGTGTGTGTGTGTGTGTTACTCACCTAGTTGTGTATGCGACGGTTGAACTTTGGCTCTTTGGTCCCACCTCTCAACCATCAATCAACTGGTGTACAGAGTCCTCAGCTTCTCGAGCTCTATCATATCTACACTTGAAACTGTGTATGGAGTCAGTCTCCACCACATCACTTCCTAATGCATTCCATTTACTAACTACTCTGACACTGAAAACGTTCTTTCTGTTGTCTCTGTGGCTCATTTGGGTACTCAGCGTCCACCTGTGTAGCCTTGTCTGTGTTAAATAATCCATCCTTTTCTACCTTGTCAATTCCCCCTGAGAATTTTGTATGTGGTGATCATATGTCCCCCGGGCTCTTCTGTCTTCCAGCGACGTGAGGTGCAGTTCACTCAGACTTTCCTCATAACTCATGCCTCTTAGTTCTGGGACTAGCCTAGTGGTAAACCTCTGATATTTTTCCATTTTCATCTTGTGCTTGTCAAGGTACGGAGCTCCATGCTGGGGCTGCATACTCCAGGATTGGTCTTACATGTGTGGTATACAAGGTTCTGAAAAGTTCCTTACACAGGTTCCTGAAAGCTGTTCTGATGTTAGCCAGACTCGCATACGCCGCTGATGTTATTCATTTGATGTGGGCTTCAGGAGACAAGTGTGGCGTTATATCAACTCTAAGATCTTTCTCTCTCTGTCCGTTTCGTGAAGGACTTCATCTCCCATTCGGAATCCAGTGACTGGCCTCCTATTTCCTCCGCCTAGTTTCATTACCTTACATTTACTTGGGTTGAACTTAAGTAGCCATTTGTTGGACCATTTCTTCAATTTGTCTGGGGTCATCTTGTAGCCTCATACTACCGTATTAATCCACCCCATAATTTTTGAAGTACGTGTGTGTGTGTTTACCAAAACTGATAGTAAAGAAATTCGAAACTTTCTCTTCATATATAACTTAACTGTTTCTTTAATTTGAGAAGGAAAAGTGGGTCAGCGAGAGCAGTAAAAGTAACAACAGCTCCCTCAAGTGGCTGTATTTCTCGAGTGAAGCACCGAACACCTAGACACAAGTTTTAATTGAACCACAGTTGATAAAACGATGAAAGAAGAGAGAAAGAGAAAGAGAGAGAGAGAGAGAACGAGAGAGCGAGAGAGAGAGAGAGAGAGAGAGAGAGAGAGAGAGAGAGAGAGAGAGAGAGAGAGAGAGAGAGAGAGAGAGAGAGAGAGAGAGAGAGAGAGAGAGAGAGAGAGAGAGAGAGAGAGAGAGAGAACGAGAGAGCGAGAGAGGGAGAGAGAGAAAGAGAGAGAGAGATTATACTACATAATAATATCAATATATAAATGACAGATATCTTATGACATATTGATATTGATATTAATATGTAATAATATTTTGTGTATATTAAGGCACAAAGGTAGGTTAGGTTAGGTTAGGTGTTTAGTTTCTGTTGGCAATTACTTATATTTGTAGTACGTGGGTGTAAGCATTGGCAGCGTTGTTGTCCGAACAGAGGTCGTCAACGAAGCACTGTTTGAGAAATGTTCATTCGTTATCAGTTGTGAGTCCTTGTAAAGTGATTTTCACTCATAAACAGGTTGTTTTGGGCGTGGAATGAACATTTGGCCTCTGTTGATGAGGCGAGGCTGAACATTTTGTGCAAACTTTATGTGAACCGGATTCTGAACACAAAACTGATTACATTTGAACCTTCTCGAACAGTGGTCCGCTCTATGTTCGAATCGTAATTCTCTAAATGGTTCACCCACGTTAGCTAGTAAGTTCTCATAAACGATGGTCAAATGCTCGTTAATCTAGCCGCCAAACCCCCCTGTTTATGAATGAAAAACGATTTACAGCCTACTGCTAACCGATGACATTCGAATATTTCTCGAACAATGATTCGCTGACGACCGCTGTTCGAATCCCAACGCTGCAAATCCTTCACCAATGCATTAAAATACAAATAATAGTCAGCCGAACCTAAGCACCTAACCTAACCTAACCTAAGCCTAACTCTACATAAAACTTTAATACATAATATTAAAATATAAATAAAAACAAACTTATTTTTAACATGTTAAAAATAACATGTTATTTTTAACATGTCATTAACTTATTTTTAACATGTTATCAATGTTAACACTCGTTAACATTGATAAAGAGAGACGTGCCCCAAGAGACGGGCAGGTTTCTTGCAAGACGGCCGTAGGCTGAGTTGCTTACTACTCCCTGCAATAGCAACGTCCACACCTGAGACTATTCCTTCCTTCAACGCCTGCAACCTCATTCAGCGTCTACTGCAACCTCCACACTGCAGAACTTCTTGATTCTGCAATAATGTTCCACGGAGCCCAGTACTCATATGACTGATCCTGTTTCCCTTGCGACTCCTCCACAAGCTCCTCCTCTTCCTCCTACAAGTGTTGTAGTCATGACCCTGCAGCTACAGGTGTCTCCAGGTGTCTCCAGGTGGCTCCAGGTGGCTCCAGGTGGCTCCAGGTGGCTCCAGGTGTCTCCCGGTGGCTCCAGGTGGCTCCAGGTGTCTCCAGGTGTCTCCCGGTGGCTCCAGGTGGTTCCAGGTGTCTCCAGGTGGCTCCAGGTGGCTCCAGGTGGCTCCAGGAGTCTCCCGGTGGCTCCAGGTGTCTCCAGGTGGCTCCAGGTGTCTCCAGGTGGCTACAGGTGTCTCCAGGTGTCTCCAGGTGTCTCCAGGTGTCTCCAGGTGTCTCCAGATGGCTCCAGGTGTCTCCAGGTGTCTCCAGGTGTCTCCAGGTGTCTCCAGGTGTCTCCAGGTGACTCCAGGTGTCTCCAGGTGTCTCCAGGTGTCTCCAGGTGTCTCCAGGTGTCTCCAGGTGTCTCCAGATGGCTCCAGGTGTCTCCAGGTGTCTCCAGATGGCTCCAGGTGTCCCCAGGTGGCTCCAGGTGGCTCCAGGTGTCTCCAGGTGGCTCCAGATGGCTCCAGGTGTCTCCAGGTGGCTCCAGGTGGCTTCAGGTGTCTCCAGGTGTCTCCAGATGGCTCCAGGTGTCTCCAGGTGTCTCCAGATGGCTCCAGGTGTCTCCAGGTGGCTCCAGGTGTCTCCAGGTGGCTCCAGGTGTCTCCAGATGGCTCCAGGTGTCTCCAGGTGTTTCCAGATGGCTCCAGGTGGCTCCAGGTGGCTCCAGGTGTCTCCAGGTGTCTCCAGGTGTCTCCAGATGTCTCCAGGTGTCTCCAGGTGTCTCCAGGTGTCTCCAGGTGTGTCTGGCAGAGATCACCTTCTCCACATCTGCTGTCTGTGAAATACAAGTCCATGACACTGATGTATTAAACACATTCGCCGCCCATGTAACCACTTATAACATCTTGTCTGTTCTTAGAAGTAACAGTAGTGTAATAGTAGTGTCTTTTTCTTCCCTCCCCCCCCCCTCCCCCCTGTTGTTGTTGTTGTTTTAAATTCAGCTACTGGGAACAAAACGTTCCAAGTAGCACGGGCTATGGTGAGCCCGTAGTGGACTGACCTGGCACAGGAACGGGGCTGTAACTGTATTTTACAGTTGCTCTATTTGTAATTGGGTGGGTACAGACTCTCGTAAGCCTTACCTTACACCTTTTTTTCCCCTCCCTGGAATATAACCCGCCAATCGGTTAAGAACCAGGTACAAAATTTCTGCTGAGTGAATAGAGGCGAACACTCCTCCCTGGCCAGGGTTCGAATTAGCTATAAACCGTCAGCTTCAATGCATAAAAGAATACAACCTTCACTAATCACTAAATACCCTCTCGTTACCGCAGGTGTGAACCACCGTTACGACCGGTGTAACTTAATTTAGCCATTGCAGTTTCCTTGCTTAATATATTTACACGTTAAGGGAGGCTGGAAACACTGCCTGAGTCTCGCCTGGCATTGAAGAATTCACGAATGCCAAATTATAATTGAGTTTTTTGCGTGTAAGTTTAAACCGGACTTGAGTGAGCATCGCGTGAGTGGGTTATTAAGGTGTTAGTTATGAGTGCGAGGCATGGAATGGGTGAGGGGAGATTAGTTGGCCTGGAGCAACGGGGAATGTTGGGAAAATGAGGACAAATGAGTACATGTGAAGGTACTGATTTGTGTTCGGTTACACGCTGTGTTTTGGTATTTGGCGTGTGTTTTGGTCTGTGTTTTGGGGTGTTCGGATGTTTCGTGCCACGAGGCTTATATGTGTGCAGTTTATGTGGAGGGTTTATGAACTCTGTGATCCCGACAGGATTCGATCCGGCAAGGTCAGTGATCACCTACTGACCTACCACAGCACCGACACCACTCCATTCTCAATTGTCTCATTGACTGCCATTTGAGCTCCACAACCAACCACAACCCGGCTACACTCGTGGTGCGTTATGGGGTTAGTTTTTCCTCCAATCCTACTACATGATGGGATCGCATTTGAGACCGTAAATGTGAGAGAGATTCGAACCTGTGAGGCTACGGTTCATTCCATTGGTTACCAGAGAGCCGACACCACTCCACATGATGGAGTGGATGAGAGATATTGAATGTGGTCTAGCGGGTAAATTACTGGATACGCTAAGGTGCACGGACCCCTGACTGTCTGGGTTCGAATCCTTTAGGGGTGAAACGTTTTCGGTTATATATATATATATATATATATATATATATATATATATATATATATATATATATATATATATATATATATATATATATATATGCGGAAAATCCACAGAGAAATATGAAAGAAAGTGAACGTTTCGGCCTGTTAAAGCCGTTGTCAACAACAGTCTGATGTTGACAAAGGCTTTAACAGGCCGAAACGTTCACCTCATTTCATATTTCTCTCTGGATTTTCCGCATAAAATGATCAGTGTTTTGTGATCGTCAATTGCATATATATATATATATATATATATATATATATATATATATATATATATATATATATATATATATATCCCTTGAACGTTTCAGACTCGGGAGAGACACATTTATTATTCGTGAACACTTTGCGTTGGCAGCCTGGGAACTGTAATTTGCAACAAGGGCGTCATCAGTATTCTGTTGCAACATTTTCGAGTCAAGTCCGCACGCCCAAGGCTCGTCTGCTCTATTATGCTTTTGGGTATTTTTCTCCTGTCATTATTTTGGCTGTTGATGTTAAATCATGTGTAACTTCATTGTGAAGGGTTTGTGGCGTACAGGAGGCAGGGAGAAGGGGAGAGAGAGAGAGAGAGAGAGAGAGAGAGAGAGAGAGAGAGAGAGAGAGAGAGAGAGAGAGAGAGAGAGAGAGAGAGAGAGAAAGAGAGACAGAGAGAGAGAGACAGAGAGAGACAGAGAGACAGAGATTAGAGGTGTCTATGATCGGGTTTGGCATTCTGGATTTCTAGCAGAGTTTCAAGCACTAGGAATCTCTCAGGAATCATTTTACAGTTTCTACGGGACTATACCTTCCATAGGAGACTCCACGAGTATAGTCTTCAATGAACGTAGAACCTGCTCATTTCCTGCTAGTGTCCTACAGTGTAGTGTGCTTGGCTCCAGTATTGTGGAATAATTATTTCAACATTCTACTACACCTCATGACTGAAACTCAGGTCTGCGCTGATGACTAAGACCTATACACATCGATAAAGAAGAAATTCCTACTACTAAGAAGGTCATTAATCACATTTTCAGCCATATGTATTTTGGAATTGGTGATAGCAGGGCACACTTGCGGCTGCGAAAACACCGGCGATCTTGATAACAAGATAACATAATACTAAAATAAGACATAACCATTCATCTCGCATGGTTCGTGTTATCGTCAGTAAAGAGGGAAATGATTTCGGTGCGGCGGGGTAAGGGAGACAGGATAGCCAGGGCGGTGCTGTATACTCAAGATTGGAGAGCGCCTCACGTTCCGTAGACCTCTAAAAATACTTTGGCTACTTTGCTTCCATGACTCAGCACGTAGCTCCGTTTTAGACACACATGAGTCTCTGTTTCTATCCCACAGATGTCAACAAATCATCACAGAGCTCCAGCATCATGTTATCATAACCTTGCAACCGGGATAACTATTCAGATATCTAGTTACCAGCATTCCCCCTTGGTTTTTCTCCTCAGGGGTTTATATAACCTGCTATCGCATATCTTCCTCCCTTTAGGTGGTGCTGTTGCTTGTTTAATGACCCTCGCTGGGGTTGGAATATATTTTCTGCATATGTAGGAGTACAGTTATTTGCATGAGATAGACTCAGGCAGTCTGTCAGCCTTGCAGTCTATCAAACTGGCTGTCTATCAACCTGGCAGTCTATTAACCTGGCTGTCTATCAACCTGGTAGTCTCTTAACCTGGCAGTCTATCAAACTGGCTGTCTACCAACCTGGCAGTCTATCAACCAGGCAGTCTATCAGCCTGACAGCCTATCAACCTGGTAGTCTATTAACCTGGCAGGCTATCAACCTGGCAGGCTATCAACCTGACAATCTACCAACCTGACAATCTACCAACCTGGCAGTCTATTAACCTGGCAATCAATCAACCTTTCAGAACCCATCTATCTTTCAGAATCCGTCTATCTTTCAGAACCCTGGCAGTCTATCAATCATTCCACCTTATTTTCTAATACTCATAAGATCTGCGACCTCTCTACCACTCTTTCGCAATTGAAAAATAACAAAGAATGACTTTAAAAACCATCACGTCATTAGCAGTTTAATTTAATATTTTTAGAACATTTATACTACTAATTAAGATGCCACGACGATCCAGAAAAAAATGTCCCAATCCCTTTGGGTGATCGCGATGCACTGGTTGGGGACCGGGAGCTGGAGCTTCAGGGGTGATGTAACTCTGAAGCAGACATGACAAAATGTCAACTGAGGACCTGTATCTTGATAACATAATGGTCTGTTTTTTTTTGCTCAGCCTCCTTCTATAGAGTGTTGTGTTGCAACTTGATGAATCGTGATGAATGCGATTCGATAAACCAGGGAGCCTTGGGTTTCGAATCCAAGCTATATGTGTGCCAGTTTTTTAATCCTATACCCACACTCATCTTACACATTCATCCCACACACACACTCATCCCACACACACTCATCCCACACACACTCATCCCACACACACCCATCCCACACACACAACCATCCCACACACACCCATCCCACACACACACTCATCCCACACACACCCATCCCACACCCCCATCCCAAAATACCCCCACCCCACACACCCGATTTCCAGTTGTATCTGATTCCAATATATATATATATATATATATATATATATATATATATATATATATATATATATATATATATATATTGTGACGGTAACGCGTTGGTGTTCGGCTGTTTAAGGCTAGGGGTATGGCCTCGTCACATAGTTATAAAAAAAAATAGAAAAAACTGGAACTTCGTCTGTGGTAAGGTAAGGAGAAGACACACAAAACACAAGTAAAACTTTAACAATGAAATTTTAATGACGTTAAATAAATCAAAACATGAAAATAATGCACAAACAAATTCTTATAATAAAATCAATGAATCAAAATAATAAGAATACTTAAATGACAAAATGAAAAGTTACGTTAAGGCAAAATAACAAGAAGTGCAATACAACAGTAAGTGGGAGGTGCTGGAATATTGGCTTAAAGCCACCACCTCTCTCAGTACACTCTAGAGTCTAGCTGGGAGGTGTGCTGGCTACGAAAGCACGGAACATTCTGAAGACTGATGTTGGGGCGACCCCAGACATCAGGTAGTATTGGGGGGCGAGTGCAGGTGCAGCCAGACCGGCGACCAATCAGCGGAGCCGTAGCGATCAACGGGTAGTTTGGTGATTTGGGTCCGAACAGGTGGCGGGCTGCATACGTTTCTGCTCACCCTTGCAAGCCTTGCTGGTGCTGGTGTTGTTGTCGTTGTTGGACATTTCTTCCATAGTCTTTTATATAATTGTGAAGACGTAATTTTGGAGGGAAGAGCAGGCTCAATCTCTTGAAGGAGATTATCGTCACAACTCTCCCCCGAAGCCTGCGGTTCTGGAAGAAGTACGTCTTTATGTGGTGGAGTAATGGATGGAGTTGCTTCTACTTCATAAACTCTGGAGAGATCATGGGCTAAGATGTTGTCAGACTCTTGGTATAGCGTGTCTCCAGGTTGAATTTCTGCAGTTAGCAAGCCCATAGTAGAAGACGTTGAGATGAGAAGTGGGCGTGCTGCAGGAGGTGTAGGGTGGTGTGGTCCGTATTGATGGTGGACCGAGCACGTTTCAGGTGTGGAGTGAAGTGCTGAAGCTTCAGGATGAGGA